TTAGAATTCATAAGAAGGTTTAAGCTTTCGTAGGTCGATTTTCTTTCGATGTCAGGTATTATTTCATTGAATCAATTTAAGAAATTTTGTCACTGCAAAGTGTATCTATTGCACTGAAACAAGAAATTATTTTCATTTTCTCCTTGATTTGATTTGCACAATGGGCAAAATCTCCTTTCTCTGGGTATATTATCATATCGACCAACTTCAATCATAAGTTTGTGATTACTAATCCTAAACTTCACTAAAGTTCGTCTCTCATTAAAACTTCTCAGCTGGTGTAAATAATCAGATAAAGAGTATTCCTCTATAAAAACTTTGTAAAATTCAATTTTTCAGAATGTTTAAGGCTATGGCGCCAGAAAAATATATATTTTTCTTTTATAGTAGTTGTATATTGCTAATTTGATCGTTATCAAAAGATTCAGGACCTAAGTTAGTTGAACGGTATTGTGCTATCATGCTCATAAAATTGGAATAAAATCCCGAGTTATAAAAGAGATGTAGATTCTTCGACATAAGAAAAGATTGTTTTACTATGGATTAATCATCTTTGTTTTTTAAATAAACAAAATATTTCGTAATTTTTTCATTAATTGGAATAGTTAGAGGTAATCTTCCAAGTTAAGCCCTACAGGCTAAGATCGAGGCCTTATTGTTTACTTCTTGGTAACGTTTGCTGAACTGGAGATGAATTTTTTCTATCGGGGAACTATCCCATTTTTTTAAATTCTGTTTAGTATACATACCCCATACCTCACTGTTGTAGCTTAAGATCGGAAATATCATAGTGTCAAAAATCTGCGATGCGGTATTAGGGTGAAGTCTATCAAGAAGTGTATCTTTTCGTATACTGGAGAATGCGTGTAAGGCTTTTTCTTTTAAGTGTTCGGTTGCAAGGGTAAAGTTTCGAGTTGGAGCTAAACGTGTGCCTAAATAGGTGTACTCTTGAACAATTTCAATTGTCTCGAAGCCTATCTTGAAACTTATATCAACGGATTTCCTTAAGCGTTTTTGAAATCTCATTGTTTTAGTTTTTTCGGAGTTATTTGAAGCATCCATGCTTTGTAATATCAAGAAAGCGTATTCAAACAGTTTTGCAATGCTATTTTGGATCTTGATAGGATAATCAAATCATCTACATATAATAATGAATTTATTTTGGTTCTCAAAAAGCAAAGAATTTCAGACCGAAAAATCTCTGCAACTCGACGAACTAACACCGAATCCCGACAAAGCATCGTTTTGGAGTTGTTTGAAATCTAGGAACGATTCTGTCGCTCAAAATGCTCCCGCCCCAATCTCGGAAGAAACTTGGCTAAAACGCTTTCAATCTTTACATTCTAATGAGCCGAAAACTGCCATACAACAAGAAGAAGTCTATACTGAGCTACAGTCATTAGAAAAAGATCAAGAAAAACTTAACTATTTAAATCATGAGATAAGCGAGCAAGAAATACGTCAAGCAGTGAAGAAATTGAAAAATAAGAAATCTCCTTTCTTTGACAAAATAAGAAATGAAATGATCAAATCGAGCCTTGGATCACTTCTGCCTGTTTACATCAAAGTTTTATTCTCATTTTACAATGTGGAAAAATACTAGATATTTGGTGTCAAGGCCTTATAAGCCCAATCTATAAATCGGGTGACAAGAGTGACCCAACAAACTATAGAGGCATATGTGTATCTAGT